CCCCCCGCCCCCCGGCCCCTGAGCCGGCGGCTGCGGGCGACCACTTCTGTGGCCGGGGGTGGGGAGCGGGTGAGGGCCTCCCACCTGAGCCCTTCTCCCTTCTTCTGGGAGGCGAAGGGCACCCCTCCGCCCATGCCCACGTAGGAGAATGCATCCGGGAGCCGGGTTCGAAGGAGGGAGCAGGCAGAGCGGGGATCCCATTGGGCAGGAGGGCGCTGGAGCAGCACAGAGAGGGCAGCTCTGGGGGGATGAGGAGAAGGTGTTTCTGGCAGGTTGGGGGAAAGCAGGGGGTGTGTGAGAGGCCACAGGGGACACAAGGGCTCAATCTGCCCTGCAGCTCCCCAGCACCATGTCCGGCTCCTGGCCTGGACGCCCCTTGTTAGGAGGGGGTCGTGGCCCTGGAGGGACATTTCCCCTGGCTGGTGCCACTGGCCAGGGCTCCAGGACACTCAGGCCCTTGGGGAGGCAGGAGCCCAGAGGCCAGCAGGAGGGATCGGGGCTGAGGGGCGGCTCCCCAGAGGGATGGGATGATTCCCCATCATTGGGGCTCTATGTTTTTTCACTCTGGCTGCGCCAAGGCTGGATACAGGGAGTGTGGGCCTGAGGCACAGGAGTCCGGCTGGGCACTGCCAGCCCTGTCCTAGCTGTGGATCCTACACTGAGGGCAGGACCCTGGATGGGATTCCTGCCAGCCCCCCACCTTCCCGGAGCTTCCAGTCCCGTCCCTGCCAGCGACAGCCTCGTGGGGATGGGCTGGACGTGTGGCTGAAGGGCGGATATCTGGGGTCAGGGTTTGGGAGGGGGCACTGAGCCCCTAACAATTGGGGGAGCCATCAGACTGGTATCCGGTCTGTGCCCCCGCCCCAGAGAGGCTGCATGTGGGAGCCAGAGCCCCGCTGCGGCCCATGGGATGGGGGGGGTCGTGTCACACATTGGCAGGGCTGGGGGCCTATCCCCATGGGGCCCTCACCTGGCAAAGGGGCTCATGGTCCAACCTGGGTGAGTGAACCCCTCCCCCCCCCAAACTGTGCCGGGCCCCGGGCGCCCCTGCTGACCAAGCTTCCCCTGCACTCACCAATGCAGCTTGGAAATAAACCGCCCTGGCGGAGGAGCCGGGGGTGCAAGAATGGGGAGGCCTGGAGGCTTCTCTCCGGCGCCTCAGCCCTGGCTGGGCTTCCCCTGCTGGCACAATGGCCGGTTGGGAAATAAACGGCGCCGGCCGCCGCTGGGGGGGGGCAAGAGCTGGCGGGCCC